TTTCTCATTCTGGAGCTGGTAAAAGCAATCGTTATATGTGGAATCAGGGTCAACATATTTTATGGTCTCATATAACTAATTTGTTTTATGAAGATTTAAAATTGCATGCATGTCCAAAGCTAACCGTTGAGCACATCGAAATAACTCCATTTTCAGCTATAAATGTTTGTTTAGCTGAACAAGTTTTAAGTAATTCATGTATATTAGAAAATTTATTATTTTGGAATATTTAAATAATCTTTAGTAGTACTTAATTAGAAATCTGATACTGCTGGAACTGCACAGTTTTGCAAATATTTTTATGATTTTTTTCATTGCTTAAATGTTCGTAATACAAATGATTACATATTAAAACAAAACTCATTTTTGAAACCATTTTCTGATACTAATGATATTCAATTTACATGGTTAAAAGAAAATTTTTTTAAATACCTTAATGATTAGCTTTTTAATATTGAATCAAAACCTAGAAATTTTTCAATAAGTGATTGAAGTAACATGTTTATTAATAGGCAAAGCCATGAAGGTATAAAGATCACAGTTAATTCTGTTATTGAATTTATCAATTGTTATTGAACTTGTATTAACTGAAAGGTTTTGTCAGGATCTTTTAGAAAATTACTTCGGACAACAACGATCAGTTGGTAGAAGAAAGATAATCCTTCCTTGTTTGATTTTTGATTCAATGATAATACTATTCGAAATCAACAGATATTTCACCCAATTGCAGGTAACTGTCTGAATCTTAATGAATCAGACAAAATGTCAATGAGGGAGAGTATGACACGTATACTAAAATATTTTTGTTTGAATTTTAAAATTCATCGATGAATATAGATTTAGTTAAGAATAGTATAATAATATATATATATATATATATATATATATATATATATATATATATATATATATATATATATATATATAATACCTATAATTTATAGAAGAGTGACCTAATCAAGGTAGGAGTTCCTTATGGCAATCTTTCTAGTGGTAGTATCACAATAAAAATACTCAGTTCTGATCTTTATAAAACAACACTCACACTCTCTCTCTCTCTTCGAGTAAGTTAGAGCAGAAAGTAAAAATATTTGTTTATTACAAATTTAAAACTATTGTGTGTATATTCCAATTTTGTACTACATTTTGATAAGGGTCCTTTGGAGTTAAAGTCTAGGGGCCTTATCTATGATTTATTGACACAAACAAATCTAAACATTTTTTTAAATTAAAGTTTTTTATGACAAATAAATAACAGAGTTTCTTTGCCAAGTATGTCTTTGTGAAATTTTTGGCTATGAAAATAGCCGTTTTTGAATGTGATATTACATTAAACTATTTATTTGAATCCAATTTATGTTTTTTTCATTTTTGAATGGAGTGATTTTGACTTTGTTTGATTCTCTTTAAGTTTTGTGGATACTTAGTTTTTTTGCATATGAAAAAGATCTCACTCTAACATAAAGTGTAACCAGATGATAAAACAAGTTTAATGACAGTTCTTCGGATACTTGATTTGTGCAAAGACTACGAAGTTCAGATATGCTTGCCATAACAACACTGTCTTTTAAAATTTTGGCTACAATCAGTTCTGAATCAACTTTTTTTACAAAACCATTACTTTTATGGTGAAAGAGAAGGTCAACTTTTGTAAAGATTTATAAAACTGGAGGAGACACTTTCCATAAACCACCTCGATTTTTAGCATTTACAACTTTTTGGTAAGACTCAGTTGATTGATTAAGAATATTGAAACTGGATGTTTCAATATTCTTAAAAAATGTTCTATTTTGCCAGCATTAAGAAGTGAAAGGCAGTCTGTGCTTAACTTTTGCTGCGATACCTGCAAACTGCGAACTCTGCAATAAAATGCACTGAATACATAACCACTTAGATACAAGATAATTTATTTATCTCTATCTTAAAGTTCAACTGACGTTACATCATTTAAATTTACAAAAAAAGTATGTAAAATGAGTTTGTAAGTTGTAAAATGTAAAATGAGTAAAATGAGTTTGTAATCATGTTTTAAAACATGATTGCATAGTTCATAGCCAAGAAGTCTAGTTGTTTATTTAGTCAGACTGTCAATGAAAATTCCTCTATCACAATTAATATCTTTGTAAAATTAAGGATAAAACTTTTCTGCATCGCCATTACCTTTAAAACTAGCTATTGTTGCCTCTAATAGAGTTTGGGTTTGTTATGAATTTTCTAATAGAATTGCATGATTAATTCTTAACTCATTTCTATACAAATCAGAATAGCATTCATCGTCAATCAAGGTAGTAATGCTTTTATCGAGCAGACTTTTAAATTCGCTGAGAAGAATATGTGGTTTAGGATTTTTTAATGTCAAATCCAAAGGAATACTTTGATGTTTTGAATTTGTATGTCTTGTAAGGCCTCTTCGAGATATGCACTTTTAAGAGCAAATTGTGCAAGAAAATGTACTTTCAACAGGTTCACTAGACAACTCCAACACCAAGGCGTCTAAATCTTTATTAAAATTTTTGTCTGCAATAAGAAAATCATTCTCCAAAGAAAAAAATTATGTTTCAGTATCAAATTCACCATTGAACTCTTTATCCGTTTCCATACTTTTTGCACTCTGTTCCTGGCCGTCCGACAGTTTTCAAGTGTTTTTAATGAATATTAGAAAAACCACTTAATACGGTCCGAGTGACCAGATTATTTCTTATGACTATGGCATTATATAGCATGTTAAAGAAAAGCATCATTTCGTTTAAAGTTAGGCGACCAAATATTATACTAATTGTGTAGAATTTTTGATATCGCGATATCCTTTAGATACAAGAAAGGAAGACAGAGTTATTACAAGTAGAAGCTGTTTATAGTTGGATCGATAAAAACTAGTATTTTTTTCTTGGTTTTCTTTGATAATCAAAGATTTTAGACGTATAATTAGACGTATATTCAGAAGTATTTTAGGCGCATATTTAGAAGTATTTTAGACGTATATTTATAAGTATAAATTTTAATTAGCCATATTGTTTATTCTTTATGAGAATCATAATAATTGTAATAGGAACTATGATGAACCACATAAACTTTATGTTCATCAGGTTCTCATAAAATACTAAATAAAGCAAGTTTTTCCTTTATGATAAAAGGAAAACTTGTTTATATATTATTTTAATAAAAGCTATTACTGATTTTTCTTTGGATGTTATGGAATGTGAAATTGTGGCATGGATACTTTACAAAAGTTTTTATACCTGTGGTTTTCTGTCTCAAAGAATGTCATTAATAGCGCAGCCCCTGCTACTGCTTCTTCTACTGAAATTAATAACAAATTTTGATTTCATTAATGCACTGTGTATAACAAGACATGTTTTTAATATAACTTTTTTAATTACACGATTGTGCAAGCAAGTAATAATGATATTTTTTATTGTTTAAACCTTATTCAAGCATTAAAAGATTTTTTCTCTAGTAAGAAATATTATTAATCAACACCTCCAAATATGCTTTAAACAAGCCTAAAAATTGCATTTCAAATTATTTTAACTTGGTTATCACTGTTTCTTTGCTAGACTGTCTGATTACTCAGTTTAACGCAATGTTTGATTGATTGATACAATTGAAGTGTTATAAAGCTGTTTTAATTTCTTCTTTCAAATAATTAGTTTCTTCTAAAAACAATTGCAGAAATTCAATACTTTGTCATACTAGTTGGGAAGACCAAATCATATGTTTTAGTGTCTTATATTCAACCAAAGGGTATATTAGGTTTATTTATTATTTCTAAACCAAAGGCTTTATTATTTGAATTTGACCTTTGGAAGTTTAGTTGAACTTCACTTAAATGCATGAATTTCAAAAATGAATTCTATCCTGATAATACTGAAACATTACAAGCCTTTTCTTTACTGAGGTGCCTAAAAGGTTATAAGAGAATAGTAAGTAGACGTTGCAAAGCAAAATGGTTGATTAAGTCTAAATGGTTTAGTTTAGCTAGTCTATAGATAGTAAACAAGTTTTTAACAAGTTTTTCATAAATACTTATGAGTTGTGTTTTAAATAAATTTCAAATATGATAAAAGTACTAACATATTTGAATTTTATAGCGATTTGCTCTCAATATACCGATTTGCTCACAATTCCAATTCATCGAAAAATTTTGGGTATTTTATAAAATAATTTTTTTTTTTTTTTGAAGTTTCAAAGTTTTATACATTTCTCAATTTAAAATAAAAGTTAATTGTTAAAAAACAGTGATTTTAAATATTTTTGAAAATACTTTTATTCCTCATTTTTTTTTGTCATGCTTCACGATAAGTTCTAGAATTTAAAAATTCAGATGCATATATTCATGCATTATTTTAATTTTTCGTTTTTAGCATTCATATTTTTGCTTCCTTTTTTTAACATTCATAGTTTTTTTTTAACATTTATAATTCGCTTGAAGTTAAAACTTTTTTTAAATAACAATAACCAGCTCAGTCTGGGTAAAATATCTATTTTCAATGCGTTCAGCTTTTTAAAACGAAACATTCAAAAAAAAAAAAAAAAAAAAAATTTTTTTTAAATTGAATCTTATTTGGGATAAAATCTTCTTTTTCTAATTTGAAATAAGTTGGTATTTAAAAGTAGAAAGTTGGTATTTAAAAGTAGAAAGTTGGTATTTAAAAGTAGAAAGTTGGTATTTAAAAGTAGAAAGTTGGTATTTAAAAGTAGAAAGAAAAGATTTTATCCCAAAAATGATTCAATTTAAAAAAAAATATTGTTTTTTTACAAATAGTTTGTGAAACTCATAAAATAAGTCAGTTAAAAGTATTTTTTTTCATTTTTATATAACAGTTTTTAAAGTTTTAATATCGACACATTTGAATTTAGAGTTTTCATGGATTTTGTTATTAGGGATAGTCCATAAATTACGTAACACGAAATTAAACTTTTAGACAAAAGATAAAGGATTAAAAGTTTTCCTTCGCAGAGTCTTCACTTCAATCGAGTATATAAACAATGTTGCAAGTCCAGCAAAAACTGCCGCGGAAAAAGGTAAAATGATCTCCGACTTAATTTTTTAAATAAGTTGCGTAATTCATGGACGATCCATTTAATATTTCCATAAAATCAAATTTTGTATTTTAATTAGATAATATCAAATTTTGTATTAAATAGATAAAAAAGATTACTTGTAAAAATTGTTTTTGGATAAACTTTGTAGAAAAGTTTATTAGTTTTAAATTTATATTAACCATAATAAATAAACGTAACAAATTGGTCAACATCGTTATATTGTAGTTCTTTGTAAAGGTCACTGTAAAGGTCATACTATAAAGGTCACTATAAAGAGTTTTTATCTATGGTCTCTTCTTCTTTGTCTGCTTCTTCTTCCTTATCGTTCTTTATCGCTACCATTTTAACTATTGTTATTTTCTTCAATTTGTTTGTTATTTAGGTCCTGCATTTTTTAATTTAAATATCCGCCAACATTCAATTTTACTTTTATCTTGCAACTCTATCAGTGAAAGTATTTTGGTAGTGAGTTGGAGCTTATTTGTCATTGATTCAATTATTGTTGAAAGGACAATTGATTTTATTAATAATTTGTTTTCAAACATCTTTAAAAAAGAAAACGTAAACGCAGACATTAAAATCATGATGACAACAATTTTTCTAATTTATTTTCCTCTATATTTTTTTAAATGAAATTTAATTATAAACTCCAAAAAATTCAAACAATGGAAGATGAATTTTTGAAAAATTGCATTTTACTAAGGTTCAAATGAGGCAAAATTGATCTTTAAGTTAGAGTTTATGATCTTGATATAAGAAGAATCAAATCAATTCAACTCTTGGTTTTTTTAATTCAACCCCCGGTAATCTCAATATTAAATTTTAAAATGCTATACTTGTTAACCAGGCACGGATTCTAGGATCCTGATATAGTATATAGCTAAGAAATACCAAAGAAACCTGTCTGGGCTTAGGAAAGAAACAAATGTTTTATATTTTTCATACGATGTTATTGGGTTTTTAAAGATACGGTATAATAATTAATGGGTCGGTAGTTTAAAATTAAACAATTTTTTTTTTAACAATTTGTTTCGAAACCGGAATGACTGACGGTCCCGAATACATTTTTCGGGACGAGAAGACGGCTTACCTAAAATAAAATCGACCCCTGAAAACCTCAATAGACTATATCTTTATATATATACACTATACACTATACCTACTATATACTCTATACACTATACCTTTACCCAAAAAGTTAAAACAAGTTATAATTCTGCTTCTAGGAAATAAACCCCCGAAAAAATCCCTCGCAAAAAATTAAATTCAAAAAAATAAATAAAAATGATTCCAATCAGTGGCGTCGCTGAGGTTGGTGTCACTCAAGGCGGTAAACTTTTGATTTAATCCCCTTCTAGACTAACAGGTCTAGAAGGGGGTTACACCATGAGATCGCATCTCCCTAGCGATCCCACTGATTTCAATAATTCTCGCAACGCGCCAAATGCAATAACTTTAAAATTGACTTTAAAATTGTTATAAAAACTATAAAACTTTTGCATGATTTATTCAAGGAAAGGTTTTATAGTTGATTTTTTTAGCAGCTGATTTTTTAATGCTACTTTAGTATAGCTAAAACATAAAAAATTAAAATAAAAGAAAGCTTGAGAAGGACTTAATATCAGGGCTGTCCCGCAAAGATTTTAAAAGAGGAAGCATGGGGTGTGACGTATCAAGGCCCTCGTTAGCTGAAATTTTCCGACCGCCAAATATAGACCCAATTTTGCCGACTTCAGTGTCCAATATGCCGACTAGTAAATTTAGGTTAGGGGGCTAGACACCCCTACGCCCCCCCACCTACTCGGGATGCCTCTGTTTAACAATAAAATATAATCCTTTTAAAATCTCTTATTTCTGTTATTTTGATATGCAAAACATTTTTCACAGTGAATTAAGTGAAATCTTTTCCACGAAAATTTTTTTCAATTTTATGAATAATTAAAAAAAAAAAAATCTTTTTGTAACAATAAAATTTTATTTTTTGATTATGGACACTTTTTTCTCCACTGACCTGCTTTTCAAGCAGTGCTACCAATTAAAGAATGACACCAATTGATAATTAAAACTAGTTTGTAATGTTAAAAAATTGAAAAAGGCATATGTTTGTTTGTTTTTTGAATGAACTTTGTCATGATGCACACAGGGCCGTGAGTTTTTGCAATAATGTTATTAAATATTAAATTAAAAAATCTGAATTCCTATTAAAAGCATAATGTAGTTATGAGATTTTGTTTTTAACTATTATGTATCGATTTTTTTCTATTTTAGGTCTAGCAGACCAACAATAAAAATTTCTAAAAATATTTCAAACCAGTTTAATAAAGATAACCATATTAATTGTTATTTTCTTTTTATTACTTACACAGCTATCTCACAATAAAAATCGATATAAATAAATAGGAGAAAACAGGACAAACTGGGCAAGAAGGCTCTTCTTATTACTCAACAAAAAAACTTAAAAAATGGTGAAAACTAAAATAAAATATCTTGTATTTTAAAACATCACACACACGCACACACACACACGCACAGACACACACACATACACACACAAAAATAAAAATCAGATCAAGCAATAGGGAGAGTGGGGACAGGGAGAGCAGGGGGATAGGGATTGGGAGGGGGGGATAGAGAGGGGTTGAGATATTGTGATGATTTGTTTTAAAGGGCAGGGAAATCATCCTTCATTTGTTCTTATGTTAAACACCCACAAGTACTTAAAAAAAAGTAAAGTCAGCTGTGCAAGAAGTGAATTTGAAAGCACTTCAGATATCTAAGAGTTTTGACTTCTTGTTGTCATATCATGTTGGTTACAATTAGTTCATTGCTACATTGGATAAAAATATAACTTCTTTAAATGATATTCAACCCTCTTGTTTTAAACTTCTATAAATTTCATGTTTTGTACTCCTTTATTCAGTATAGCTTCAATAAACATTTCCTCTAATTCATTTCTTGAATTAAATTACCACACTTATTTTGACTCTAGAAGTTATGGTCCCATATTGTTTTTTTTTTATTTTTATTATTATTATTATTATTATTATTATTATTATTATTATCATGATAATTTTATTATACTTTTTTATTATTATTTTAGGAACCAGCTCACTAAACTACATTTTCATATTTTATATCTTTTATATTTTTTCCTCTAATTAATAAAATGTTGTTTAATTAAAATACAAAGTTTAAACCAATGTTAGACATTCAAATTACCCAAATCAAACTTCGATTGTTTATGTTACTTCTCACATAAACTCTTTGTTTCAAACAACTTTTGTTTTAAACAACATTTCTAACTATTAAACTCTTCTTCAGCTTAAGGCCCCAACAAAATTTCTGGTTTCCTGTGGTCCTAACAACTTAGTTTCTTTTGGTCCAAACAGCATTTCTGGTTTTAACGTTCTTGTGACTATTTCTAATCAGATTTCTTTTATTTTTCTCTTAGAGAGCAACTCTCAGAACTCAGAAAGTAACTCTCAAGTCTTATCTTTTTTTTCTTGCAGAATAACAGTTTAACAATCCATCAATATTATTTTTTCCTTCTCTAACTCTCTAACTCATGAATTTGATCATTAATTGAATCTCTAATTCATGAATTTGACCTTAATTATCCCTCCCAAGGATAAGATAAAAGGGTCATTCCATGCCAAGTGGAGCAAATTTTTATAAGGTTCCTTTTGGACCATCTCAGGTTTTTTTAAAACTTTTTGATTTTGTACATATATATGAGAAAAGCATGTTTTGAAAATATTAGATCAATATCTAGTATGGTTCTTGAGAAAACATTATTTAAGTAGTGGGGTATTTTGCATGAAATTTCACTCTGCAATTAAAAAGGTTTTTTGTTTTTAACAGCTAATAACATTCGAACAAGTTAGTTTTATACCTCAACTATTTTAAGATATCCATAGCAATGTTGTTTTTTTAAAAGTATCCATAGCAAGTTGCTATGGATACTTTCAAAAGAACAAAAAATTTAAAATCTGACATCTTTGCTTTTTCCAGAATGGGCTAAAGTTGATATTTTTGTTTTGGAATTTTTTGTGATTTCAAAGAGCTTAATCTTAAAAGCTAGTTCAAAAATTAATACAAATCAAATTACCTGTTGATCTACATGAGGTGGATAAATATTTTAAAAAACATCAGTTGATTAAAGAGCTGCATTCAAAAGGTCATCAAAATGAATCAAATCAAGGTTTTTTAGAAATTGATCGGCAATGCAAAGCATCTTTTATCTAAGCTATTTTTTTTATATATAATTTCTTATACGCATCAATCAAAGAGTGTTAATTAATAAAAACCAAAAAAAACTTATAATCTTAAAAGATAGTCTTTAAAAGTCAGGAAAATTTTCCATGAAAAAATCTGAAGTTAACAAAATAAATAATTGCCTTGAATTAAATAATTCTATTTGTTATAAAATGAAATTAAAAAATATTAATGTTTATAACCTTACAATCCCAACAGATAAAAACTTATAATCCCTACTTTATAATATATTTTTTTTGATGAAAAACAAAATGTTTGTCAATTTGTCAATTGTAGTGATGAAGCAAATTTACAAACGTTTTAAATACATAACGTATTACACTAAATATTAGAATATTTGTTTACATATAACTTTAAGATATTTGTTTATAATATAACTTCAAATTTCAATTGAAATTTTTGTTTAGCTATTTAGACAAAAAGTTTTTAAGACAATAAACAAAATTAAAAAAATTCATAAAAAATTAAATTTCTCAAATAATAAAATAATCTCATTGATTTCTTTCAAGTCATTATTATAAAATCTTTCTCAATGAAGATCTTGATGCTCTTCTGAAAATGATCTTCTGAGAATACTAAGAATATTTCCTAAATACCATGGAGCATCATAAATGTAGGTCACATATATTCCTGGTGTGTAACTTGAAATTCTAATAATATAAACTCTGGAGGTAGAAAAATTAGTGCAAACACTATCAATTGAAACTTCTCTTATTCTTATTGAGGTTAGTGGTAATGTAGAAGAAGAATGGTATCTCTCTTCCAAATTAAAGTTTGTAATAAGTGTTTCTATTGAAACTTTGTCAACAAAAATAAATAATCCTTCAATATGTTGAGCACACCAGCTGTATATTTTGCTTGATGTGTCAATTGATGTGCTAAGTGACTTTAGACTGGCTTGTGCAACAAGACGTTTTACCGTTCCACCAACTCTATCAAAAGGACTTTTACCATGCATTATTTCAAAAAAGTGCCACTCTACAATAATGTCAAAATTGTGTTTATGGTAGCATAAGTTGATAATACTTTTGTAATTTTTATATTGTGATGCAGCTCCATCACTAAAAGAAATAATGTTTTCAAATGTTTGTAATTGTTTAAGTTTATCAATAACATTATTGATAAAGCAATGAACAGCATCTGTTCCATGTCTGCATGTTTGTTTATGCTTCTTTTCCAGATAATCTGATAAAACAATAACTATCAAGTTTTTCATTTTTTATAAAATAAACAACAAAGGGGTGCAAAATTACTTGGTTGTTATATCAGTAAAAATGTTGCACTGCATCCTGTATTAGAAAATTATATTTTTCTGCAAAGTCAAGAAGAACTAAAGCTTATTTTACTTTTAAATTAGTTTTCAAACTCATCAATTTCGTTTTCAAATGTTTGATGTAGGTGGTTTGACTTTTTGATACAAAACTGTTCATAAACCATTTCTATAAATTCATCTAAAGGTAAAGTTGCTGGTGCTAAAGTACATTAAAAATTTGATTTTTGCCATTGATAAAAATCAACTCCACTAATTTCAATTTAATTAAACAAGGTTTCAATGTAATCTGACAAAACCGCTTTTTCAGGACATTTATCGAGCTATGCAACATACAATCTCTATTTACAATGCTACAAACCATTAATTTTAATAAGCTTTTGTAATCAGCAATTCCATGGATTTTCTGTACAAGTGGCTTTATATTTTGATGTTACTGGCAAACACAAACTGCATGCAGACCAGAAGCACCACCCACAGGAATGCACCATTTGGGCCTTAGCTCACAAAATTTTGAAAATCCAACTTTAAGAAAATTATGTTTCTTTTTAGACTCAACATGAAATTCTTTGATAATGACTAAAACAAATCGTTTTTAGATGTGTTGATTTATATCATTTACTCTACTAAAACAAAGTCTTTATTTCCTGGACAAACCCCTGAATATTCATTGCATTGATAGAACTGAACAACCTCTGTAATTACATCAATGTAAGTTTTCTTGATTTTGGAGAAAGTTTCAATAGTATTCCACTTTTTTTTCTTAATTTTCTGTCTCGCACTACATAATTTTTTGAAGTCAAAAAATACTTCAAAGTTTTCTCTATTGACCAACTGTCTCAAGTGAGTGTAAAGAGTGTGATTTTTTCGGATTTTGACAATGTTGTGTCAAATTTTGACTTAATATGAATGATAATATTGTCTAAATTTTTGTTTGTTTTTTTCAAACATTTTTTTGAAGGTGATTCAATTTCATTAAGTGCAGTTATTTCTAAACCTAGCACATTGGCAACAGCTTTTTGTATATGAGCTCTTATGTTATCAATTTTCCTCTTACCAAATGCAACTCTATCTTTTTTGAAACAAATTTCAAAAAATATAGAGTTGCATATGGTAAGTATGAGAAGTGAGCCTCCAAAACTTGCAATACTTAAATTCAGATCTTCTTTTAATGTAAAGTTGTCAACATAATGTAAAGTTGTCAACAATTTCTTTTTCTTGAAGTTTATTTTCTTTTGTATTATGATGTTTGCAACGCAGAGTTTTTCTGCAACAAGTGCAAATTTTTTGACCAGGTATTAAACCAAAATCTTTGGAATATCAAAGACTGATAACTCTAAAAGAATCTACAAAATAGAGATAATAATTGTTAAATATTGTTTCACATTTATTTATTATTATTTAGGTATTTGTATTAAATTAAGGTATTAGTTAAAATATTGAAACTTACTTTTCACTTTTTTTGTGTGCTTTTTAAAGGGATTAAAACAATAACTTCGATGTTCATTCTCAACAAGTTTCTTTCAACTTTCTTGTGATAGTTACTAATAAAATCTATGGAACTTACTTTGCTTTTCAAAGAAAGAAGCTCTTGGTTTAGTCTAGGCAGTTCTTGGTAACATATACTTTTTTTAGACTTGATTAGATCGCACTGTTTATTTAATGCTTTACCAATACAGCAAGGAGAAAGCTCAGGCATACTACTCATTATTTTTAATTCTTTTATTACTACTTATTACTACTCATTATTTTTAATTACTCATTATTTTTTTTTACTTCTTTTAAAAGTATCCATAGCAACTTGCTATGGATACTTTTAAAAGAACAACATTGCTATGGATATCTTAAAATAGTTGAGGTATAAAACCAACTTGTTCAAATGTTATTAGCTGTTAAAAACGAAAAACCTTTTTACTTGTAGAGTGACATTTCATGTAAAATACCCCACTACTTAAATAGTGTTTTCTCAAGAACCATACTAGATATTGATCTAAAATTTTCAAAACATGCTTTTCTCATATATATATACAAAGTCAAAAAATTTCAATAAAATCTGAGGTGGTTCACGAGGGACCTACTTAGTTCTACTTGGCATGGAACGACTTAAAACTAATTGCATTATTCAAGCAACACTCTTCCTGTTACCCAGATAAAAAGTTTAATTCATTCCTAGCCATCCAAATGGCACCAGCTACTGTTTCCTATTTCTCTGATAAAATTATCTACTGGTTGTGTCTAGACAACATTCATCTATGGCTTGTAGTTCAATCCTATTTAACAAGGCTTTAACTGAATCTTTCAAATGGTTTGAATGGTTTCCAATTTTTAAAAACTTGAAAAATTTTTCTAACCCCTCAAACTACAAGTCAATCTTTTTACTATTATTACCGAATCATCAACTCTTTAATTAGCAAACATAATATTTTATTTTATGAGACAGAAACTTATTCTTAAACTTATTATGCCTTAATTGTACAAGGAAGAGATGACGCAAAAACTATTGCACTTGAAATATCAAAAAGTTTTATAAAGTCTGGCAGGATAGTCTTAAGCTCAATTTATAAGTTATATTTAGAAAGTTTTTTAAAAATTGCTCAGTCATTTGTTTCTAACTTCAGTTTTTAATTTGTCTTTTTATGGGCAACACTGCCCTTCATTTCCAGTAACCTATAAGGTACCACAAAGGTTCTCTTTTGGTCCCATATAAGACATAAGGTTATTATCCAAATCATACAGGCTACTGTTTCGGTCCCATTTAATTGTGATTTGGATATTACCAATGTCTTATATGGGACTAAAAGAGTAGCTGATGTGATTTGGATATTAAATGCACTATTAACCTATAAGGTACCACAAAGGTTCTTTTTTGGTCCCATATTGCTTCATCATTATTATTATTTTATTATACTTTTTTCCTCTAATATGTAAAAATAAGTAAAATGTTGTTTATTTAAAACATAATTAAAAAAAAAAATTATAAAATTATTTTTTAAAGTTATTTTTAAACATTGAAATGTTAGAAGTTTCAGATAAAAGATCTTTTTGAGATATTAGAAGTTTATTAGAAGATATTAGAATGACTAACAAAAGGCCTTGATAATAATATTAAGACATTGGTAATATTAATAAGAAAATTGATTTATAAATCTTTTATAAATTTTCAAAAATTAGAATTAGAGTAGCTATTTTTCAGAAGGCAGAAGAAAAAAAACTTTTTTTATATAGTTTAGAGGTTATTGAATAGAGGTCTAGACAACTTTTGTAACTTCAATATTTAATTTCATAGATTGTTTTGATTTGAAAAAATTATCAACATCATTATTTTAGAATCCTTGTTTTTGTTTCTTTAGAATCCGTGGTTTGGTTGTTTCTCAAAATAATGTTACTCCGATATCTCGCAGCGTTCAAAAGTTATAACCATACAAATTTTAAACCCACCTCAATTTGAGGGGGTTTCAAATTTTATATGGTCATAAGTTTTGAATGCTAAGATATTTTCATTACTATGAAACTGAAAATTTATTAAAAACTCTAGTTAAGAATAGTACAAATAGTATTTTATCAACTTGTTTCCCTCATATTTATGGTAGTGGTGGGGGAGGGGTTGTTGTAATTTAGGGAAGTGTTTTGGGCTTTTTTATTCCCTGCCTCCAATCATCCCAATTTTTTTACAAAGCATCATTATTTAACATAAGTATAAATATACAAATTGGAGTTTCCAAACACCAAAAAAATGATTGATCCATCACTGAGAGGTAAGCATTTGCTGACTTTTTTCCCCCACCAAAATCTATATGGTTTTTTTTGCAAAAAAAAAAATTAAGAAAAAAAAAAAATAATTGAAAAAAATTATTGCTGTCCCAATCCAAACCCTCAGTTGATGAAGAAGCAAATCTTTTGCACGTTCAGTATATATCAGTTGATGTATGCAGTGAATCCCAAAGCTGCTCCCTATTTGCAGTATGTCATCATAGTGTCACCTAAGTTCACTGTTAAATGTGTGTTTTTTAATTAGTAAAACCATTTTATTAATAAAAAAACATGTTTTGACTAACACTAGTCATTTTCAGTTAAATGTTAAAATTTAATATTAAAAGTTTAATTTAATGTCATTTTCAGTTAAATGTAAAAACTAAATGTTAAAATTTGTTAGTGTAATTGATTTAGCCTCAAGTATGGGAATAGGATTGTTTATGCTTCTAATATTACCAGTATATGGAAATGTTATTAAAGGTAAATTAATTTATAATTGCACAGCCGAAACGTTTTTTTATTTATTTATTTGTATTTATTGTGTCTGTTCAAGTGATTATGAATTTGTAGTTGAAATATTTTAAAAAAAATGTTTCAACTGTAAAACTTATTTAAGTCAGTTAACTTAGTTTTTTTTTGAATTAAAAATTTTATTACATTATAGAATAAACTTTCTTGAGTTTTACTTGAGTTTACAAGGTTTACAATGATTTATTATAAGTAATTGAATGATTTAGTAAAGAGTTGTGAAGTTAGTAGGATGTGTTTTTTTACTAATGTGATTTAGTAAAGTTATAGAATTTGTTTTATAACAAAAAATTATGATATATAGTTTTATATATAGCAATAAGATTATGTGGAGTAAGGAAATACTGGTCTTCCAAATTTTGATTTGCAAAGTTAGTAGTTTGTATTTTTATTAAAACCCCATAATGTAAAATATGAACAAACACACATATTTGGTAAATGCATAATTACTTAAATCAACAAATCATCAACAAATTTAATCTTTTGGAAATGTAATCACTTTTTGAAATTGAACAGTTAAGTGATTTAAAATTAAACAGTTTTTTGTAAAATAAATCAAAATGTTAAATTTGAACTTGGTGAAACTGAAAAGTTAAAGGATAACGGTTTTTAGTAAAATAAATCAAAATTTATTTTTAGTTTTAAAGTTTGTGTTTAAGTTTGTGGATTTTTTAATTTTTGTTTTATAGAATAAGTTTATTAATTTTATTGTTGGTTGTTTACAGTGATGTTTGTTTCTTATCGTTTGTTTTATAATCTTTTTAAATAATTTTATAATTTCTCATTAAATTTAAATTTTAAATTGTTTTTCTCAAAATTTGTCTTTTGAGAATTGTTGTTTTAGTATCTAGTTAAGTAAAATATTTTTTCAAAAATAAATATATTAAAATTGATATTAAAAGTTGCTTTAATATTATATTGGAAATTATATTCTGTTTTAATTTTTACACCTTTTATAATTCGTTTATTTTGATAGGAAGTGGTTCGTTTTTAATCAATGGCATTTTCCCCATCAGTAATGGCAAAAATTTAAACATGCAGTCAGGATTTATGATGTATCAGGCTATGAAATATGCTGTAAATATGGTGGGTGTGTTTACATAAAGTTTATTACCCAGACTTAAGTTTTATTGTATTTATTTAATATTGCATCATATTTTCATTATTTTTTAAATTCATTTTGAATATAGTTTGTATGACTGTTTATATGATTGTTTTGCTTATTAAATCTAAAATAAAACATAAATTATTGAAATCTAATTAAAATAATTGAGATTTTTGAAAAATAACAAAAAAATTATTTTAAGTTAGATTTATATGAACAAATTATTTTTACAACTATATCAAATTTATTTTATGAACATTTATAAATAATTTCTTTAAAGCTTCATTGCCACTCAAATTTGAAAGATTTTGATGATTTGATCAATTTCAAAATATTAGCTAGTAACGAAAAATATCTAATACTAAACATATTGCAGCTAAATACTGTTGGAGTTCACAGCCATTTTTGCAACAGTATTACAGTTTAACATGGTTTTAAGGGTATAAATTATTTAATTGAAAATTTTATTTTAATTAAAGCAGCGCATAAATTTTTCAATTAAAAATCAAACTGATTTCTTTCTTAATTTTCTTTAACAGTTAGTTTTGGTAGCTTGATCCAAATCAGCATTCAGTAAATTGATCTTTTATTTGTTTGGTGGTTTTTTTCTAGGTAACTTATTTGCCACCGTTGCACAAAATTTATGATGTAATTTTGTGTATATTTCTGATAGTAACAAATACTTTTTAATTAAGTTTAAGTTTAAAAAAAGTTGAAGATCATTATTCTTAAATTACTGTTAATGGAAACTCAGTGTAGATTATGGTAACCTCTTTTCTTTTTTTTCCCAATCTTTTTTGTGTTTTTTTCTTCCTTGGCCTATTACTATTTTCTTTTATTCGGAATTATTTAGCTACCTTTTGATAATAAAAGTAACATCTTGGATAAAAATCTGTGTACAAAACAAAAAAAGTATAAAAAAGTGCAAATTTTAAAGTGCAAGTTTCAAATTTTTAAACGCACAATAAAATCAACATAAACAAAATAAGATCAACATTTAGAAATATATTTTTAATTTCAATAAGAAATTAAAAATATATATTAATGAGATTTATAACATTATAAATTAGCTTTTTATTTTATGAAGTAAATTTAAGTATTCATGTTGATTTAGATTATTGTGTTTTTTGGAATTTAATTTAACTGTAAAACTTATAATTAAGTTCCTTTATGTTCTAATGAAAAATAATTGTAATCACTGTTTGATTTTGTTTTTGGCTCAAAGTTATTTGTTTTGATGTTTGTGAAACACAATTTCCTTCATTGGCATCTGCATCTTCTTTTCATTTTATTTTCTTTTTAGAATTATTTTAGTACTTTTATTAGAATCAAAAAATAAAAGTAGAAATAAATAATAATAATAGAAAGTGAAAACTTTTTTTTTTATTAGGTTCTATAAGGTTTTAAAGTTTGTTATATGCATTATGTGGCATATAACAATATTACATGTATAATGTAGTAATGCATGCATTTCATTGCATGATTTACCCAATAGACAGGTTAAAGAATGTATACTGCAAGTGTGCTATTAAAGTACACTGCAAGTGTCTCATAAATGATATTAGTACTGATTGAAATTCAATATTGAATCTAATTTAATATTGTATATTGAAAAAATTAAAATGTTTACTTATTATAATTTTTAAATTTTTTAGAGAAACAGTTCTCTAATATTTAAAAAAGTATATAAAATTTAAATTTCAAACATAAAAAAATAACAACATAAAAAACAATACTAGCTTTTGTATGCTTATGTTTACACATTTATGTAACTCAGATAAGGGTTATGATTATCATTAAAAGTTTTTGACATTATTCCATTAAAATGTTATTATTTAAAGTTACATTATTATTAAAAGTGCTGTTAAAGTTTGCTAAGTGTAACATTATTTGGAACCTAATCAAATAAAAAAGAACCATTATAAACAGCACAGTTTACATAAACTATTTATTTACAAAATATATATAATTATATATAGAAAATATTGTTGTGCCATTTATCACTTATTGCTAAATTTTTTATTAAATAAATTAATTTGTTTTACTTTGTTATTAAAATTTCTAAAACAATCATCTAAAAATTTTGATAAGTTGCACGTGAAAATGTTATAGGTTTAAACTTACTGTGTTTTATAGTTAAGCCAGTGTTTGTAACAGCTAGGTCAGTGTTTGTTACAGTTAGGTCAGTGTGTGTTACAGTTAGACCAATGTTTGTTACATTGTAATCAGTGTTTTTACAGATAGTTCAGTTAATGTTACTGGCCAATGCTTACTACAGTTATGTTAGTATTTGTAATAACTAGAATAGTGATTATTTAATAACCTTGAGTAAAAAATAATTTTTTAATCTTTATTTTATACCATTTAACTGATTTTTAAATAATTTCAGGTGAACAATAACTCAGATTTTTTACATGGTTACAAACTTAAAGTCAATGAAGTATTTGATGTAAACGATTATACTGAGGTACAGAGTAAAGTTTTAGCAACTTTTATGAACAAAGTTCCATTCCTAATTGGTCCATATTCTGGAGAATCATCATTTTTAGCTAGTATACTAACAAGTACATTTAGTCAAATTGCAATTAGTTACAGTGCAAGCTACAGTGAATTTGATATATTGGATCATAAAGAACAAAAGATGTTCAGGACAGTTCCTTCAAGTAAATTTAGAATTCAGGTAGTGATATAATAATAATGTTATTTTATAAACAAATTTATCTAAAATGCATATAAAATGAGTAAATCTTGTTTTTCTCTTTTCCAGCAGCTTCAGCTGCAGCAGATTGTATAAAAATCAATTCTATTTTTTTAATTTTATTAAATACTTGAAAAGTTAATAAGTATAAAATAGGAAACAGTTAAAATGTTGAATTTTAAATAAATAAATGGGATTTGTCCATTCATTATTCAAAAATTGAATATAGATTACCAAAGAATTCCAGAAAGAAAACAAAGCCATTTGTTTTTTTAAAATATAACAGTAAAGTATATTTATAAATAAATTTAAAATATAATAAATTACAGTAATCTAAAAAATTGATTCCATAATTCCTATTATTATGAGTGTCTGTATATTGATTGCCAAACAGACGACTTAAAAAATTGCAAATGATATGAATCAGAAAAGCAAGATAAAGGAAGCAAATTCCAAAGAACTGATGTTCAAGGAAAAAAACTAGACAAATTAGAGTTTTTGGAGCACTTAGGAACAGTTACAGAAAATAGTAATAAAATGGTAGTTGGCTGCAAGAGCAGATCCAACTATGTTTACAATGCATTTTTGCACCTTGTCTAAAAGAGAAAGGACATCATTGGAAGATACGCCTCAGATATGGCAACAGTATTCTGTACAAGGACGGATTTGAGATTTATAGAGATAAAGAATACAATCCTGAGTAAGAAAGTGGTAAGCATGATAACGAGATGCAACCTTAGCAGATGCTAATTTTGCAATGGGTTTGATATATGGTTTTCAAGAAAGATTGGAAGTAAGAGTTAATCCTTGAAAATGAAGGGTAGATGACTTATAGAGTACATTATTCATAAATATAGGAAGATTTAAATTATTGCAATAATGATTGGCTTAAAAAAATTGGGTTTTATTTGAATTAAAGTTTACCAGCCATTGTGAGCCTCATGCTGTAGCAGTAGTGAGATCCTTTTCAAGCTCAAATCTTCCCTCTATACAATCAGAGAGTGTTGGCTTTATATCAAGACAAGAATAAATGATAGTATCTTCAGCAAACAATGCCAATTTACATGTAAGAATATTTGGAAGATTAGTAATGTAAATTAAAAAAAAGTATAAGGCCAAGAATCAAACCTTGTTTTCCAACAAATGGCTGAATTCTTGCAAACATAAATGTCCACGCCAAACATGTGACTGCTATAGTCTTTACAAATTAAAGGAATATAACTATCAACAACTAAGTCACAAGATATGGTAGCCAAACTAAAATTAGTCTCAAAAGAACAGGTAGGTCTGGTGAGCTTTGCAAGAGATAAGACTCAACAAAAGGAAAGTTACTTTGAAGACCACAAATATTAGTGAATGAAAGCTTTAGAGAACTTGGCGACGATGATGTTTTTTTTTTTTATAGTTATTTTATTTGATAATTGTGTTTTATTATTTTATTTGATAATTAAGTCATTTTTTAAATTGGTTAAAGAACTTGACTCAAAGCACAGATAGTACTCAGTAATTTATTTAATAGTCTAAGCAATTTCCTTGTTACTATTAATAAACCCAAAGCCATAACAAAGGGCTTCAAATGTGGTCACTAAAAGTACAAACAGGGACACCATCCATGCGCAACATGGCATTCTTAGTACTCTGATATTTTTCACAGCTGCTTATGTAATCAGCTTCTCTGAGATCTACCCAGATATTGGGAAACCTGACTACCAGCCGCCTCAGAACCATAAAACTGAATCTTGGGGCTTATCCTCATTAGGAGATATTAGAATGAGTTGCCTGGTCATAAAAAACAGAGACACAAGCAAAACCCATGCATTGAGTCAAGAAGATCCATCATTCAACATCCTAAACTGTAAACAATTTATTAAAAATCTGCGCCAGCTTAATAGATGAGGAGTAGGTGCGAAACTAATAAACAGATAGAATCTGTTTTTCACTAAGTCTTTGCCTAGGAGTCTTTCTACAAAACAGTAGCCAGATGAGTTTAAAATCTGCCTAAGATGAGTTTTTTTATTGAGACACCAACTCTAACCTTTACTCAACCAAGAACCCCAAGGCAGGGGGTGTTTCAAGTCGGAGTTGGCTTCTCCTAGCCTTTTACTAAAAAAGCGTATCCTAAAAAGCAGCAGGACATGAAGCAGGTTGTACTGGGTTATATGTTACCAGTAGCAAGATAACCTGACCTGACACACTTTAGCATATTTTTTCCCTTAGAAAACTCACTCAGCCTCTCCTTAACCTCATCTAAGAACCTCACAGAGAAAGTTATGAGAATATGAGTTTTTATATGAGAATATGAGTTTTGCTGCATGCGTACTGCTAGCATATTATTATTACAAGCGTTACTATAATGATTCTATTCCTAAACATTTGTTTTTGAACATCTTTATTTTTTCAATTATGTATCAATCTTCTTATCTTTTACCTTGCTTTACTTGGGCTGCGCATTTCTTTGAGGCAAATATTTGCTATTTTTTTTTTAGATTAAAAATTAATATTAAATAATAAAATTTTAATATTTTTTTATTTTTGTTTTACTTATGAAAAAAAAATAATTAATTTCAGATTGCGTTGGATTTGATAAAAAAGTTAAAGTGGAATTATGTTATTGTAATTAGTTCGAATGCTCATGATGGTGAGGATGATTCACGCCCTTTTATAGCTAAATTACCTTCTATTGGCACTTGTATTGACATTCAGGTAATAACTAAAATCTTTATGAATCAATAATTAACCACATGATTCAAATTTTATATTTTATATAAATATTTGTTAACAAAGATTTATATATATGGATTTAAATCCAATTAAATAAATATACGCTAGCTGATCGGACCTATAAAAAAACAAGTCTTTGTAAGTCTATTCCACAGTGAACTTTTTTATACTTTTTCCCACAATTATAAAATCTAGTAGTGGGTAAAAAAGCATACTACATCATCTTACATTACAAGAGCCTAAATTAACCCTTCCCTCTTTATCTAATATGCAATTAAATGGCAAGGCTTTTGTTTTTTAGCAATAATTTTAATAAAAGTAACTATATTCTTACCAACATAATCAATTTTTTGTAGATCTGTTTCACAATTTATTGTCTAATGTCCATATTAAAAGGTAGAATAAAAGCATGAAAAATCGCTGAATTGTTTTTTCACCAAATAACGCTGATTAATTTGCGCTAAATATACCAAGTTTCGTAATGTTAAATAATAATCAACAGGTTGCTAATATTTGGATAAGTGGTCGTCAAAAGTACGTGCGCTTTTATTTCGACCTCACCCTCTCCCCTGCATTTTGATATACGCTTTTTTGAGTACCATCTACCTCCCTTAATGCACCAACGCTTTTATTCTACCTACCCAACATTTTATGATACTTTTTTAATTAAGTGTCTCCGTACTTTTATAATTGACCCATGCCCCATCTCATATACGCCTACGTACTTTATGGACAAACTCTAACTTACCGTCTTTCGTCGTTAATGCCAAAATCAACAAGAGAGCTTAAAAATTAAAATTAACTCTACCAACTTTAAAAAATACTGTTCCGGCTTAAAAAATACTGTTCTGGCTAACTAATTTTTGTTTTATAATTGTGGTATTATATATAAATTATATTTTATTTGTAATTTATTGCGCTAATTAATCAAAAGTTATGTTACGGAAAATAAAAGATTAGGAGAAACAGAGAATTAAAAAAAAAGAGTAAACCTTCTCGACTGTAGTGTGAATAAAATGAAAAAAATATTTTAATTGACACACATATTGAATAAGTAAATAGGGCTTTGTGGTTATTGACTCCATAACACTCCTAGACTTTTATCAAGATGTTTGGCTTAAGTTAAAACTAAAACTAATCCTGGTAATAATATTTTGACGCAGTTTAAAGTACCACTTAAACATATAGTTAAATTATTTAAGCTAAATGTTTATTAAAAATTTCTTTTAAGAAGCAATACATGCAAAATAATCATACTTCAATTCATAATGCAATTTAAAAACCATAAATTTATTTTAAATTACTCATAAATTTATTTTAAATTTACACATAAAACTATTTAATGATAAAAGTAAAATATTAGAACAAAAGTATTAATATCTATGTAAAAAAGTTAATAATCTTGTTTGTGATAAAATAACTTTTATTTCTTAGATTAAACTACCAGTAAGTCCTTCTAAAACAGATTATGAGGCAGCCATCAAAAAACTTTCTAGTGATGGCCTGGAAAAAAAGTGGACAGCACGGTTAAAGGGTCTTATTTTGTTTACCAGCAAAAAAGATACAGCAGAATTATTTTCCATTATAAAAGCTCAAGGGATATATAATCAATTTGTAATGTTTTGTTTTTATGGTTGCACAAATTATGTTGAGATTACTAAAGGAAATGAAGACGTTATTAATGGAACTTTAAGCTTAGATATCGCTAACGAGAAAATTCCAGGTTTTGAAGAACATTATTTAAATTTAAGACCAAGTAAAGATTCTGATTATGTGCTTAATATAGTTTGGGAAACATATTTCAAATGCTCTCTATTTAACTCCACTTCATCAACAAATGCACCGTGTACAGGTAACTTGAGTACATAAACTCACACATGTGTTACTTTTAATTATTTTTGCTTCATTATTTTCAAATAATTTAAATTTAATTTCTTTAATTTTTATAGGAAATGAACAGTTTTCTGAAAATGTGGGTTATTACTCTCAAACTCCAGTACACACTGTTGCTTATGCTATTTATGCTATTGCAGATGCCCTTGAACATATCATCAGTCGTGTGTGTCATCGAAACAGCACCTGGATGAAAAATAAAACACAATGTGTAATACAAACAACTGAACGTAAATATAATCATAATCTTCACACCTTGCTGAACAAAATGTCGTATTTAGATGGTGCATTAGATGATTTTAGAACGCCTTTTCTAAGAATTAACAGAACTATAAAATACGAGATTCATCAATTTTTGTTTAATGATGGAAAATATCAAAATCTCCTTCGAGCAACTTGGGAGCTAAATAGGCCAAACTTAAAAACACATCCCGAGGACGCGCTTAAAGCTGGTCGTGCTAAGTTTACTTTTATTCCCGATTCAATTGATCACCATTTTGTTCCTGTTATAGTGTGCAGTGATCCGTGTCCTGTAGGCTACATAAAAATAAAAGATTTTAATTCTTTAAAATCTAAGTGTTGTTGGGACTGTCAGAAATGTCAGCCTGATAGTATTTCTGTTAATGATTCTTGTATTCCGTGCAATAGAAACGAGAAGGTAGAGTCTAATCAATGCGTGGTTTTGCCAGAAGTTGTTATTTCTCTAACTGGACCAGATTTTGATAAATTTATGGTTATCTGTATAATACTAATTGCTATCGGTCTAGGTTTAGTTTTTTTTGTTATTGGTTTGTTTATATACTTTAACGGAAATCGCATCGTCAGATGTTCTGGACGGGATTTGTGTTACATGATTTTAATTGGCTTGGCTATGCTATTTTTTTGTCCAGTTACGTATATGGTTCGTCCTTCAACGATGACATGTATATTTAGAGGTGCTTTACCTGGAACAGCATTTCTTATGTGTTATGCTCCATTGTTTCTACGTGCTAGTCGAATATATAGAATATTTATCCATGCTAAAACTTCTGTATCTCGGCCTGCTTTAATAAGTCCACAATCACAAGTTTTTGTTGTGCTCGGTATTGTTTGCGTTCAAATTCTACTAGCTAGCGTTTGGTTTGCATCAAAAAACCCTGCCCCTGATTATATTGTCTCTCCTGAAAGAGATTTTATGATTGTTCAATGCACTGGGGATGCTAGTGCAGTTGCAATGTTGATAAATCTAACCTTAAGTGTTGTCTTCATGGTTTGTTGTACAATTTTAGCATTTAAAACACGAAATTTTCCGAAAAATTACAATGAAGCGAAGTTTATCGGCGTTACTTTGTATATCACTTGTGTAATCTGGTCCATTTTTCTACCGACCTACTATCTTAATCCAGAAAAATATCTAATGTTCAGAGAAAAAATTGTCAGTGGTCTGTGTATTCTTATAGGTTATGTTACCCTGATTGGTTTATTTGGACGAAAGCTTAGGTTGCTCTTGTGTCCAAGGCCCTCGGACGAAGATGTAAATAACCAGCAAATGTGGTCATTTAGTCATTCTAATGAATCTCACCATTTAGAAATCAAATAATCACGTTTTAAACTATATAGGATTGTAATTCTTATGAAGGTTATTCTTTTCAGTTTATTTGTAAAAAAGAAAACGCTGTTCACCTTTTTTCATATTTTACATTTATTGTTTATATATATATATATATATATATATATATATATATATATATATATATATATATATATATATATATATATATATATATATATATATATATATACATATATATATATACATATATATATATATATACATATATATATATATATATATATATATATATATATATATATATATATATATATATATATATATATATATATATATATATATATATATATATATATATATATATATATATATGTATATATATATGTATATATATATGTATATATATATATACATTTGACATTTTTTATTTCACACTTGATTTTTTAAAAAGAAGTTAGTTTCAAAATCACTGTAAATAATTTCTCTTGATCTTATCAAGTATGAATAACAGCAGCGCGTTTAATAGCAAAAAAATTATAAATCTATGACTTGCACTTTGATCAGTCGGTTCATGTGCTGTGTAATGGTGGAGCGCTAACCTCTCAAAAGATACGGAGATCAAACCATGTCCATGTAGTAATGTGGTCTAGTTTGTCAAGTTATTGTGTCAAAACAAAAACAAACAAAAAATATTAAAGTGCCTCCGTGTTACTACTTGCCTAATACCCAGTCTACTTGCCTAATACCCAGTCTTGATAATAAATCTTGGTTTTATTTTTACTCTAAAATCATTTTTGAGCCGAAAAATGATTTGAGAAAAAAAGCTTTTGTGCCAATATTAACGACGCCACAGTTTATACCAGACAGTTTTTGCTTGTTTTTTTGAAACACTTGATTTCCTTATTCACTTTACTGTTTATTTACCTTAAAATAAAGAAAAGTATTTTAAAAAAGTAAAGATAAAAATGACAAATATTTAATCAACTTTTACTGACTTTCACCTTTTTATTTCTAAATCATTAGAAATTTTTGTTTTAATTTCATTTTTTAAATCAAAACCAAAGTTTAAATAATGTATTTTGTTTCTTCATTTAAAAAAAAAAATCACGTTTTCAATAAGATATGGATTCCTTTGACCTTTCAGAAGACCTTTCAGAAATTTTAGTGCAGACAACTTAACTAAAATAATTTAGAAAAGCGCAAACTGAGGTTTGAAACTACTTAAAACATCGACGTCCTTATGAGATTAAAAAACGAGAAACAATTTATGAATTTCAACAACCTTTGCAACGAAAGCAGCCATTGCACAGTAATTAATTGAGTGAGACATTTTTTTGTAAGAATCAGGCAAAATCCTGAAACTGTGAAGGTGAACCCCTCCAAATTGCTTGAATTTTTTATATATTGCTTAGAATATATAGAAAAACTGTTACGAGAAAAAAAACTTCCCAAAAGTGTTTTTTTACTCGGATTCTGGCTTTAAAGGTTTTTTTTGATTTTTAAAGAATTAAGTTTTCGCCATCTTTGAATCAATTTTTTAGCAAAGCAAGAAGTTACACGTAACTTTTTTTGGGTAATAGTAGACGTAACCCCTAAGCTTTCTTTAAAAAATATAAAAAAGTTGCGTGAAAATGTGCGGCTGGCTAATTGTCATAGTTTAAAAGTAAAAAACCATTCATATTTGTTAATTTTAGGTGGAAGTTATTTCTAAAGCTTCTAACAACTTTTGAAAAAATTTACTTGATATTTTTCAAATCTTCTAGCATCCTATTTGAAGCTTACGAAATATGAGTTGCAAAACTGCAGTGGTTTGGTCACCAGAGATCATTTATTGACAGCACTTATCCTGTGTCATTTTGCCTCGCATACTGGGGCAAAATGAGACACTGTTTACAACTTATCTAAGCAAAAAGTGGCTGTAGCAGATTTTAATCGTTTACCATAATCTGTATGCCCAATCCTTCGCTTATATCGAGACCAACTTGGTTTAAAGGCACTGTGAACAGCCTCTCTAGTCTGTTCGGCATATGATCCTAGAGAACAAGAATTGAATTTCACAAATGGAGAATATGGCAAGCAACTATATGCACTTTCCATGTAACATTCAGCTCTGCATTTAAATGCATTTTTGCATACTGCTGTAGGTCAAAAAATGATATCTTGAACTCTTCAATAACTGAAGAAACATTGCTGCCTAATTCTTGTCCAAATGTGCACTTCTTTAACCTTTGAAAATTTTCTGAGGCAATGAACAATAGGTATTAAATTAGTTTGAGATGCTAAAACATCTCTTTCTAAAATATCTACTTTTTCGAGAAGTTTTGTGGCATTATTGCCATCAAAGCCTATCCCATGATAACCTCGGAGTAAAATATAATGTTCTTTGAGCCAATTTGTAGACAGAGGCCAATGATCTAAAAGTAGTCTACCAATTATCGTTACAATCCCCATAAGAAGATGTAATTCTGGTGGTGGAACTATGTGATTAATTTCATCTTCAGGATTTTTATCAAAATAAACAAGACGAGGACTAATCACATTTTAAAAATCTTACATCTGCAATCGCTTTGCCCCATTTTCAACAAATAACTTGTACCAATGATCAAGAGAACCTAACGTTCTGGGAGTACCACTTTCTAGGGAACATTCACCTTCACGCCACAAGCAGGCAAATTTACCGGAATGAGAAGATAAACCGAAGATGCTGTTAGCACATTTTAAGTCAAATGCAAGGTAATACGTAACGTCACCTAGATTTAATCTACTCAAGGTTTTATGCAGATTTCCATTGTCTTCAGAAACATTTTCAACAATAGCAAGAATAAAACACTTCTTAACTCCACTGTTAATATACATCTCATTTTTATTGGCCTTATCAAAGACATTTACAGTTACTTTAAGAAATCCTTGACTTCCATCAATGGATATACGTACCATACTGGAGAGAGGATCCAAGCTTCTTTCCGATAAAAAACTAAGAATAAATTCAGAAGTGTCATGAATAAATACTATATCTCTTGTGACAGTTTCATCAATCCAAATAAAATTATCTTGTTCCATTTTATATTTAGATTCAATTTCTTGTTGTAACGATGACATCATGCTAACTACATTGTTCTCAACAACAGTAGATGATCCCAGATTCTTACGCAGACTAGATATCAATTTTTTTGTTTTATTTTTTGTCAATTCCAGTATAGAAGTTAATTCCATCACAGTTTGGAATGATATCTGATTGAAAGATTTTCTTGAAGATTTATTGTCTTTAGTTCCAACAGTTAAAGATAATGGATTCCCACCTTATAAATAAACAATATTTAAATTATATATTTTTTTAAACTTGTCCTTAACTTAAGTTACAATGCAAATGTTTCCAAAAGTTGTTAGCAATCAAAATAATTGCTTAATAATAAGCCTTATATCTATTGAGCATTTTATATGTGCTTTTAAGTTCTATATGAACATATTAATTTTTTTTTTCAACAATTATATAATGAAAATAAAAACTTACATACCTGTAGATATTTTAAAAGACTGGCCTCTCTCAATGCCTTCTCGCTCCATCTTGTTTTTAATTATGCCTGAAACAACTTGCTCGCATGATGTGGGACCAAGGTTTTCTGACAAATTAATTAGGTTCAACACAGCCTGACTAGAACAACAGTTGTTATTACCTCCTGAATAATAAAATTAGCTCTTAAATTAATATACACTTATTAACCTTAAAGAAAAATTTTTTTCATTGAAGTTTATAAATGAATATTTGACAACTTTTAATTTACTTATCAAGTAATTTAATCTTTATTCATAAACCTTTTGCAAGGAGAGAAAAACAGCAACTGCATATATTATCCTTTAGATGTCCTACAGCTTGTGTTTTAACATGAGATGATTGAATAATATCACTAAGTTCAGTACTGCGTCTAATTTTTGGTCTGTCAACCTAATTCAAAAATATAAACTTTATTAAAAATTTCTATTACTTATGTATTAATGATTTAACTTGAATAAATTATAAACTATATACTTGAGAAACTTTACTCATCCAGTTTGACAGATAAGTGCTTGATCCTTTCTCCAGCAAAAAGATGTTTCTTCTACAATTTGAACAAGTTACGTCAGGGCAGACAGTAAATTCTTCATTGTACTCAGGCCAAATATACTCCTTGATTTTATTTGCTATGGATGGTTGTACTTTTGATAGTGATTTTGAATATTCGCCTTTTTTTTCCAAACAAACTGCACAAACAGATTATTTCAAATCAGCCATTTTTACTGCTTTTTTATCTTTATCTCCTTATCACTTCAAAATTATTTAAAAAAAAGAAGCCAAAAATGGTGGATTACCTCGTTTTTAAAGCTAAATTTTTAGTCTTTTTTACTGTTTTAAAACTTAAATTACAAACTCTTCTGATCAACTTCAGACTTTATTTGCACTTAAAATACACTTATACAAACTAAATTTACTTAAAACAAAATTAGAGGTGGTGAGAATTCGAACTTGACGGTCTTTATGGCTCACTGTGGAGGCAGTAATTTCAATAAATAAAGTTAAACAAAACAAATCTTTAAGAAGATTAGCAAGAAATGTCACTAGTCACATAAATCACATATTGCTTGACCAGTATTTTAAAACGAACAACAGTCCAAATGAGCCCAGGTCGTGCATTTTGAACATTGACTCCACTTCTCTCCTATATATATATATATATATATATATATATATATATATATATATATATATATATATATATATATATATATATATATATATATATATATATATATATATATATATATATATATATATATATATATATATATATATATATATATATTTGTGTGTGTGTGTGTGTGTGTACCAACTACAAGAATTAATAAAATCGTACATGCATATATTGAACTTATGTATTTAAAGCACACATAACATTCATTGTATTTTGTTTATAGTTTACTGCTATAACCTATATACTATAATCTACTCATTATATATTTTATACACTACTTACTTTATTACATTACATTTACAATACAATAAGATTATAAAATATAAACATAGTAAATATAAAAATCAGGCAATTATTTGCTTCAATTTGATTAAATATTTATTATATTTAAA